TGGCCTGGGATTCTTCAGGGCCATCCTGAGTCCCAGGTCGAGAACGCTTCTACTGATAAGCACGCTTCTAATGATAACTGGATCTCCCCTCTCCATCCCCACAAAGATCCTGAGAGGGTCCCATTTCCTGCTCTTGTACCTCGGAGGAAACTATCTTTTCATTTCTAATGAAAATGAAATCTCATTATTGGGAGGTGGTAGCAGTAGGGTATCAGTCAATCAGCGATTGAGGGTCCTCTCAATTTTCCACGAAAAAAAATGGAAGGTGAGATAGGAGGAAGAAAGGAGAGGCTGGGATCTAAAGGGCGAGACCCTCAGGCCGAGCGGTGTTCACCGCGCAGTGAACCCCACCGCGCAGTGAACCCGCTCAGCCGGCCACGCAGCCCGCGCTCCCCGCTCCGCGCCCTATTGTCCGCCCAAGCCCGGGGTCGTGACCCAGCTGAAGGCGACACCGCACCCAGGGCGGACGCGGCGTGGAACCCGGAGGAGGAGCCTGGCTGCCGCCGGCCCCTGAAACCTCGCCTTTGCCCGGGCTGGCCTCATTTTGTGACCCTCAAGACCCTGGCCTCTGTGAGAAGGGGAGCTGGGACACCCCCACCCTATGAAGACAGTCACATTTTGCCCCATTCTCTCGCGGCCAGGCTTCCCGGGAAGCCGGAGCTCCAGAGTGGAACCTAGGGTTTGGCTATCTGGCAGTGCCTCCTGCATACTCAGTTCCAGGGTTTTTTTTTCTGCCTGGAAATTAAAATACTGTATACTTTCCTTTTCCCATCCTTGATGCTGGGAAGAGAGGGAGTCAGAAAGGAGGAGTGAGTAGAGGCGACACTCTTCTGGCTTCACTCATACCCCATCGAGGCAGGCAGAGCTGACCCTAGAGGATGCTGCCTATTCAGGAATCTGAAAATGTTGATGGGGCCTGGAAATTTAAAATAGTCCTTTCCTATTTATTAGGCTCTGTAACCGTATTCACCCTCAAACATACTCTGAGATTGCCTACCCATCCTTGTCTTCCCTTCCTCCCGATTTATCCTCTAGGCCTGGCAGAAAGGAAAAGCAGGAAGATGGGGTTGCAGAGGCCCTTATCCCCGCAGGCCTGGATGTGGGCTCTGCTGGATTGGCCCTGCGTTCAAAGAGCTACAGAACTGACACCAGAGAGAAGAGAAGAAAAACGCGGAGGACTGGAGGGAGACCCAAGGGCTCCTGACCTTGGAGGGCCGATGAGCAAACTCCAGATTGGCTTTAGTTTCTTTCTGCTCCCCAAGTTCCAAAGAGGTCTGAGCTCCTTGAGCTGTGCAGGTTTTAAAATGTTGGAGGACTTCTCACAGGTCTGTGGTTCAGAGTTCACCGCCCCCAGTTTAAATTATCAAGAGGCAGCTAAAACTCCAACACCCAAGCAGCCACAAGCTGCAGGAGAAAAATCAAAATGGGGCTGGGAATGCCGGGTGCAGAAAAAGCAGGCTGAGAGGGGTGGTCAGCTCTATCAAAAAGATTGGTAAGAGGTAAAGACTTTTTTTTTTTTTTTCTTTTTTACCAAATCCCCCAAATGTTTGTTTTGGGCTCCTGCCCATCCAGATAAATCAAGCTAACAGATTAGGAAGTTCATAAAATTGTATTCTTAGGTAATGACATCCAGAGAGGTAATAAATATTCCCTCTGCTCTGGTGGCCGCTGGAGTTCTGGTGTTCAGGGATCTTCCATCTCTCCTTCCAAGCCTGAGAGGGGTCTCTTGGAAGGGGAACATTTAAATTAAAATTAGCTCTCCATAGGTGCGGTGCCAGATAGAAGCTGTGGAAAACCTGGAGCGGTGGTTTTGTGAGTGCAATAGCATGCTCCCCCAGGACTGGGCAAAAAGCAGAGAAAAAGATGGTACAGTTGCTCCAGCGCACTCTCCTCTCTGTCATAGCACCCTTGATCTTAAGGGCCCCTTTCAGAGTCAGTCTCCCCTAATCCTAGAAAAGCAGAGAAGGACACCCTGGCCCCAAGCTCCCAGCAAACCTTTTAATTGTTTTCACTTCCCTACCACTCCCCCAACACACACACACACACACACACACACACACGCACACGCACACACACACACCCCTAGCTATGGGAAGCTGTCTCTGGATTTCAATCTGCCAAATCCAAGCAGAAAGAAAACTGAAGCACAGATTGCAGAGAAAACTTCGTAGGAAACTTTACACAAACAACAGCAAGAGACCCTCGGACAGGGAACGTGCCCCAGTCCTTTTCCCTCAATCTAACTTTCTCAGACTCTCTCTCTCTTTTTTGAGCCAAATACTACACAGACTCGGCACAGAAACGTCTTTTTCTCCAAGCAGAACCCCTCCGCTCACAATTGGATTTCCCGCCTTCACTCCCTAAGACCGGGGATCGTGACAAAAATTGACTGGCAAATAGAGTTTAAACTTTTGTGCTCCTCACCCCCAGAGCAGACCGAGTGCTAACTACTTACATGTCAAAGGGATCTTTGGCCTGTGGGGATCTCCTGGCGCTTGGAGAGAAGGAACCCTGGAAGATCGGTGTCGCCGTTTCACCCGTCTTCTTTTTACTTAGCCATTGAAGAGAGAGGGATACAATGCACTTACAGGCATTCCTGCGCCTTGCCTCTCCCATTACTCTGGGCAAGAAATCCCCAGTCCTACAAAAGCAGTGGCATCCTATCTGGAGACCAGGGCTGAGCAAGGGCTGGCTTGGGAGGGTCAGAGATGGGGGTGGGGGAGAGGTCAGAGGCGCTGCAGAATATAAAGGCAATGGGAGAGAAAATGCTGTGTCCTCCCCGTGAACCTGGGCTGTGTCCTCCCCCTAGCCTTTCCCCACTGCTCAACCCAACTTAAATAAAAGCTCAGCCCTCAGCTTCCAGTGAGGCTGTAGCAGCATCAGGCAGAGAGCAGGGACCAAGACTGCTGGGGCTTGGGGCCCTCGGCCCAGATTGGCCCCCCACATCCCAACCCTGCCCTGCCATTCTGGGTGACGAAGTCCAAGGCAAATGAGAACTTTGGGGAAAGGGGAGAAAATGGAGCCCACTGGAGGGAAGGCCAGAGGACAAAATCTTCAAACTCAAATGTAAGGGATTTTAGTTTGGGTTCATTTGTCAAGAATTATGGATTTCTGATGTTTCTCCTTTTCAGACCATAAAGGACAGAAGGAGACACACAGAGAGTGACCATGTATGTGAGGGAAGAGGAAGGAGAAGAAATAGAAGACATAAAGAAGGGGAAATAAAATAAGTGTCCCAACCCTTTTATGCTGCTTTTCCTGAACTAGAGTGTTCCTTCAGCAATTTCAGGGAGAAACTTAGGAAATAAAATGTAATAATTTTCCCCCTCCTCACTCTCATCTCTTCCACTTTTGGGAGGAGAGGGATAAACTCCCTGAAAGTCACACGAGCAAACTTAGGAAAGAACCATGGATCTCAATTTACCCCTTCCCTGCTTTCCATCTTAGCTCCTTTACAGGCTGGAAAAGACACCCTGGTGCCCTTAGACCTTCCTTCCCTTTTCGCAAGCGCAGTTAGAACCCCCATTTTCTGTTCCAAAGGCAATCGCCTCAAGACGATAGGGGCTACAGTCAGATTTGGCCCCTAATTCACTTGATCACATAAAAAACTCCAGATAATTGTTGGCCTGCCTCCTCGCACTGTAGGCAGCATGTTTTGTTGTCTCCAGGGTACCACTGAGGGAGGAAAAGTAGACCTAAAGGACTAAGAGATTCCCCCCAACACACACACTTGTGAGGGCATGCATACACACACACACACACACACACACACACAGAGCAAGTAACATCCAGCAAGTGGTTCAAAAGGAAATAAATTCAAATCACACCAATGTAATTTGTACAACTTAGTCCTGCTGTTACCTTTCACTCCAGAATTTGGGGATGGGAGAAGGGATATCCCTGGCTTCCCTGCATACCCTAGATCTCTTCTCCCTCTGTCTTCTACTTCTAATTGCCTTTCTTCCTGAAATATGGATAAATCATCTGAGAAGAAGCTCACCAACAGCCCTCCTCCCACCTTCTCCTAACAAACAAGCAAAAAATTAAGCAGGCCTTGCTAGGACCTGGTTCTCAGACCAGAATTATTTGGGAGCCTTTGGCTTGAATGTATTATTCAGGTAATCCAGGCAAGATTTTTTGTTTCTTTTTTAGCCCCAAGGAAACAATTTTATTTAATTAATTTATTTCTTTACAGCCAGAGAGGCTTGTTCAGGCTATCCCCATACACTGCCAGGACCTGGGAGGTTATAGAAAGAGAGGTCGGTCCTTGACTCTCCCTAAGTCTCTTCTCAACACCTGGCAGGTCCATAATAGAAGAGAATAAAAAGGTAAAAATCTTTCATTATCTCCAGGCATCAACCTTTGAGGCCTATCCATAGCAAGGGTAACTCCCAGGCCTCTGGCCTCCACCTTACCCCTTTTTCCAAGCCTAAACAAACAGAGAAGGCATCCTGACAGGTCACTTTGCTGCTTCAGAATCACCAGCTCAAAACCTTTCTTCTTTTAAGAACTCAAATGTTGAGGGGATGTCTTCCTTAATCCCTCATCCCAAAAGAGCCCTAAAGATGAAAGAAAACTCTTCTCCTTCCCACTCCCTAAACGTGCCCTCTTGTCTACAAATTAGGCAGGCCTACTCAGCACAGAGGAGGGAGAAGGGAAGAGAGAGAACATACAGAAAGAAGAAACTGTACCTAACTATAGAAAAGTGAGACACCCCCCACCCTTAGCTCCACTGAAGTGCCCCCAGAGGAGTCTGGCCTCTCTGCAGACTCAGGGGGAAGCAAGGGGACTGGACAAATTAGCCTTAATCTTCCACATCCCCTCTTCTGAAGATCCCATACCCCAACCCTTTTGCTGTTTCTTCTGAGGACATTGGAAGACTAATGGAGAGCTAAGATTTGTGTGTTTGTTTAAAGTAAACTTAGGCAACTATAGAGAAGATGGGATGTTACCAGGTCAGAGAAAGGAGGGGGATAAAAAGAAACCATCAGACATTGACGTAAAACTAATTCACATCCACTGGTTTATTATTGATCACGGGGCATTTCACATCAACACTAAAATTCTTTATTGCAAGTTTTACAATAATCAAGTAAATTCAGTCCAAAAACACAATAACCACGATGGGGGTGGGGAGAGATTCTACCTATAGACTGCCTCTCTGAACTGAAAGTTCATTTTGATTTTCTTTTGGCTCCTCAAACTGAACAGCTCTGAGAGGCTCTCCAGATGCATTTAGCTTTGTCTGCTGTCTTCGCCCCCTCTCCTCCCGCACCCCCCCCAACAATAATACAAAAGAACTTCATAGCTTTGTTCTCCTTAAAATGACTTCCCCCTCACTAACCTCCCCTGGTGCATTTTCAATGCAAAAGGCCTAAGGAAAGAGGGGGGAAGAAGGAGGAGGAGAAGGATGAGAATTGGCTTTAAAATCTCTTTCCTTTTTTCTTTTCCTCATTTCCCCTGAAATTCACCCAAACCAGACTATCACACCTTGCAATATATAATTTTTGCAGCTTTTTTCTTAAAAAATAAATAATCCCCCAAATGCCCTTAAAAAAAAAAAAAAACACCCAGCAGGTACCATGCTAAGACAACATCACATGCTTAAAAGGGTCCTTAACAGTGGAAGGCAGAGGAGGGCAGGGGGCTTGTTTGTTTATCTGTTTTGTCTGTTTGGAACTGACAAGGGACAAGGTGAGAGGAAGAGAGAAAAGAACCGATATATATATATATATTAAATTCTATAAATAAGAGTCAATTTGTGTGTGAGGGGAGGGTGGGGGCATGGGGTGGGGGCAGGGGTGTGAGTTATGTTTTATAACCTGGTAATGTCCTCTGCCCGTTGCTGCTCCGGCGGCGTGGCGCTCTGGGAGTGGTCTTCAGAAGTACCCGGGGTAGCTGCCGAAAGGGTGCTGGGCGCAGCGCCGGCCGGGGGTGCTGACCTGACTTTGGTGTTGGGGAGTCGGTGGTCCTTCTTCCATTTCATGCGACGGTTTTGGAACCAGATTTTGATCTGCCTCTCAGAGAGGCACAGCGAGTGGGCGATCTCGATCCTTCTCCTTCGGGTCAGGTAGCGGTTGTAATGAAACTCTTTCTCTAATTCCAGGACTTGCTGCCGGGTGTAGGCTGTTCTCGAGCGCTTGGGTTCCCCTCCGTTATAATTGGGGTTCACTGGGGGAGGGGGAGGGGAAAAGCAAATAGTGGGGTTCAGAGGCAGCAGGCACCCCGCCCCCCACCCTCACCTCATCCTCAGCTCTGAGGAACAGGAGGAGGGAGTGGTGGAAATAAAGTCATCAAGCTCAAATGGGTTATAAAGAAGTTGAAGGAAGCTGAAGACTTTGTAGTGTAATAAGAGGGGAATCCTCATTGTAACGACACTGAATTATTTATGCGCCCTTAGAAAGCCAGCATAGTTTTCACACATACATAACAGATCGTAGCACATGGCTCGGACTGCCCAGAGTAGCTAAGCCATAAAATTTATGGGGGATGTAATTACCCATTCTCGCTCGTAAATCCAGTTCAATTGTGCTAACCCAGAGTCGCTCCTGGAGAGAGAGGGGGAAGGAGAGAAAGGAGGACGGGGGCCAGAGGGGGCCGAGGAGGGTGGGGAGCGCTAGGGAAGAAGAGAGGGAGGGGGGGAGCAAAAAGCAAAGTTGCCTACCCGTGCTAACGTGAATTTTTTTCATCCATGGGTAGACTATGGGTTGCTTGCTGGCGGCGCTGGAGGGATGGTCGGGGGCTGGCTGGCTGCAGGCTGGCGGGGCTGGGGACGGGGAGGCGGAGGCGCCTGAGAGAGGCGCCGGCTCGCAGAGCGACTGTGATTTCTCGGGGTGGTGGTGGCCCGCCTGGGCCGGCCCGTGGCCTCGCGAATTGCCCGGCCCCTGGAGACTGGTGCAGCTATACTGGCGCTCAGGGTAGCTAGGGCGCGGAGGCGGTGGTGGGTACAGCTCCTGGTGGTGATGCTGGAATCCCGATTCCCTGGTCCGGCCGTAATATTCCGGACTGTGTTCAGGGATGTAGCTATTTTGCGAATATTCTTCGCATGGAGGAAATTTCGGATCGATGTAGTTAGAGTCCATCAAATACGAGCTCATGATCATTAATTTCTGGAGTGGAAAATAATTTTTCTCGCTTTGTCGTTTTTCTGCTCCATAAAGCCCTCCTACTAGCTAGCGACCCTGTAAAGTTACTTTCACCATGTGACTCCGCCGGCCAATCACACGGAGCAACCCAGTCCCCGGATAAGGAACCGAATCGCTTTATTCAAAATGTATCCAATTTTTTTGTGTGTGTAGTGGTGGTGGTGCTGGGGGGTGGGTGGTGGTGATGTGGGGTTAGCTGGCAGGGGTTGGGGTGCCGCCAGTGCACATCCCGTCAGACTGACAACCCTCCCCTGCAAAAGGAGATGGGAAGCTCCCGGCTCCCCTCCAAAGCCCGGGCATTGGGGGCTGTCGGGAGGCAGTGATTCAGCCCCCCGCCCAGGGTCTCCCCTCAGGCCTCTGCTGGGCCCCGTGGGCCTCGGCTCTTGAGCTTTTCCAGAGGTCTCCATTCATGGCGATCGTGTCTCAGTCTGTGTAGGTCACCGGGCAGCGCCCCTCTTTCGCAGGAAGAGGAAGTTGAATGAGGACTGGAGAGGAGGTTGGATGGGGAGGGGCCCAGGCTGAGCCGAGGAGGCTGGAGAGCCTGGAGTGCCCCCCATCCAAGGATACCAGAGTCCAGCCCTCTTCCCCATACACACTCACCCAACCCTCTGGCCATGGGGCCGGCGAGGCAGGGTCCCAGCTGGACCAGGCAGGTAGAGGCAGCGGGATGCAAATGATTCTGACGTCATTTCTGGAGGTCTGGGGGTTGAGCCCCCGCTGAAGAGAGACAGGAAGTGGTTGGCAAAAGCAGAGTTCAGAAGTCTCGCCTTCCCCTGCTACCCACTGACCCTCCCTGCCCCAACCCCAGAGCAGAGGATCTCTTCTACTGCTGGCTCCTGTTTCCACTCCCCATTCAGCCCGGCCTGCTATTTTCTGACAATTATCTCCAAGGAGCTGGGGCACGGAGGAGAGCTTTCTGCCAGGAGTCAGTGCCCTCTGATGGTGCCCAGCCAAGACCCTGAGAGTTCTTTCTCTGTCCCCACAGAGGGCAGACCTAGCTAATAGGGAGGCCTGTGTGGGTAGAGCCTGCTTGCTTCTCGCTAGGAGCTGTATCCATGTAACACGTGTGTTTACATGTAAACACGAATTCCTAAGGGCCAGCTCCAGGCTGCTTTCCAAAAACGGAAGGCTAAGCTCACCAAGTTGGGGAGGCAGGGCCAGCCTTGGGGTTCTCCAGCCCATTCACACTCCCTCCCCTCTCTCTGCCACCCACTCACAGTAGTACTCTGATGGAGGAGGGTGGCAGGGCCATAGAGAAGGGAGGGGGCCAGGAAAAGCTGCTTTCCTAACCACCACCCCCCCCCCCCCAGCTAGGGGTGGCCCTGTCAGGCCACCGATTCCAATTAACTGATCGCCCATAACTCAGAGTTGGGGGGGTAGCAGAGGGGAGAGCCCAGGGAGGGAGCCGGGTCCCCTTGTTGTACTTGATAACAATTATAGTTTAAAATCATAGCTTGCCGGGGCTCGGCTATATTTTACTTGATAACAATAAAAGTGACACATAAAGTTAACTGTTTATGTTTTATTTATTAGACTAAATCTGCCAGCGGTGGTAGGAGCGCTTGCCTCGTCGCTACAGCTTTTATAGGGCTGTAAAACGTCATAAATCAGTCTCGCGGAATCGCCCGCACTCTTTGTGTCGGCGGCGGCGCGGGGCTGGCGGCCGCTGGCTGCCTGCTCCCTCCTTTCCACGAAAAGTCGTAATGTGATTTTTTCCCCTCTGATTTTATTATTATGATCGCCGCCGTGATTAGTCAATCTACCTTTAATTCGCCGCCCTACGCTGCCTCCTCCCAGCCCAGCCTGGTTGACACTTGAATAAGTACCTTTTAAAACGGCATAACAACTATTTGAGGGTTTAATTAGAACATCTGCAATTAAGGGAATGAGGAGGGGAAAGGGAAAAAAAATAAAGCCCTTGTGAGAGGGAGACTGAAAGCAAGAGATTCCCATCCTTTCTTCATCACCTTTGGGATGTTGGAGAGGGTTTGCACTTCCAAATTAGGGCTTCCCCAGAGGGCTGGAATGAGAGGGAAGCTGGACCACAGGCAGTGCCCAAAGGGTGCTGATTCTCGCCTGGGCCCTCGCTGCCTTCCCTCTTCTAATGTTTAGGCCCCCAACCCCACCCCAGGCTCAGCAGGGCCAGCGCTTAGCTTCCAAAGAGCTGGCACTTGGGGGTCCCTGAATACTCTCTCTCCAAGAGGACAGTGCCCATCCCCACTGTCACCTGGCCAGGTGAAGGAACAGGAGTTCTCCAGAGGCTGACCACCTCTTATGGAGATTCCCAAATTCTCAGAGTTGGCTGAGAACCCTTGCCCACTCTTGTCTGGAACCCTCTGCATGTGAGGACAGGCTGGTTAGGTTGGAGAGGAACTTGAGACTGTGAGTGAGGGGGCAGAGGAAGGCTACTGCTTGGCTAACAGTGGTTTGAGTTGTGTGAGGATTGTCTTATTTTAATCATTGGTGATGGGGGTGGGTTCATTAAAAATTGCTGGAAGAGGGCAAAGGGAAACCAGTGCTGAATCCTAGTACCTAAGTCTGAACTATAGTCCCAGATGACTCCATGGGGAAGTCCAAAGCTCAGCAAACTTTGGTACCCTGCGGAGAGGGTTGATGAAGAGGGAGGAAACCGGGCCCCACTCCCTGCCCCCTTCTAGGCCTGTACCTGGATAGGGCTGCCTCACCTGGAAAGGTGAGCTGTGAGCCTGACTCTCCTCCTCTCAGCCCTCACACTCACCTTCTACCATCCCTGCCCTGGCCCTAACCCTCTTTTCTTCAATCTTCACCCTCCTGGACTTGTTAAGAAGTCCTCCCCAATATGTTGCCTGTCACATCTCACCCCGGCCAGGTTTCTGAACTTCTGCAGGTGGGTCAAGGAGACTGACTTTGGGCCAGTGTAAGTAGTAGACACAGAGGGTTCAGATGCCCCCAACTGAATGTCAAGTCTGTCTTTGGTTATTATGGTTAACATATATGCATGCACACTATTAATATTTATTAATATATTAAATGCCTCTTTATGCAGCTATAAATATGTAGAGTTCTCATTCCAGGTTTGTGCAGCTAATGCAACATGCACATCCAGAAAGTGAAATCTCCAAGGTTCCCCTAAACGTGCCCACACTCGTCTATATCATTTACAAAACAACAACAGCAACTCCCTTTGGGCTCCTATAGCTTAATAGCAAGGAAGTCGCCTATCACATGGGTAAAATACCACACACATACACACAAACATTTTCACCTGGATATTATTACAAGCACAGAAATAAAATCCGTTCGAAGGGCTTTTGCACTTAGCAATGGCTTAATTGGGAGGGGGTGGGGGTACTAAAGCAGCTCTCATCTGTGATGAATCCTTGTATCTGGTCCTGTCTTCTTTTGTGTTTCACCCTCCTGCCTCCCGCCTTGCTGGCCCAGGGACCGCACCTCTGCCCTGTCCTCCACCTTACTTTGCCCCAGTTTTATTTGTTTTTATTTTTTCTGACTACCTTTTGCCAGCATCCAAATGCTCTCTGCAATTGCCCCTTCACCCCATCCCCTTTCTAAATCTCGATTTGGTTTCTCTTTCGGAAACACGTTTCAGTACAAAGCGCTTCCCTTCTGACATCGCTGAAGAAAAATATGTGTCCATTGTGTGTGAGGCCTTATTGTGCCTGGATTACCATACTGACCGTTGGATAACCCATATTCCTCCCCTCCCCAGTAACAAGCTGCCGGCTGAGAGAGCTCAGCGGCTCCACAGATTCTCTGCTGCATTAAAATCTCACCCCTCTCTGATTTTTCCAAGGGAGAAAAATAAATGGGTGAATCAATTCAGGATTTGGAGGGCAAAGGGAAGGAAAATGAGGGTCATTCCTTTCCCTACTCTTTAAAATGCAAGGTTTATGTGTGTGAACGTTGTTGTTGTTGTTGTTGTTTTAGGGATTAAAAATTGCAACATGTCTGTTTCCTTTCACTCACATAAATTGACTTTTAGATTTTTTTTTATCAGGCAATTCATTTCACTTTGATTTTTTTTCCTTTGGGCAACTTGAAAACCCCAAACTAAATCAAGGCTCATATCCCATTTTTTTCGTGTGTGTGTGTGTGTGTGTGTGTGTGTGTGTGTGTGTGTGCGCGCGCGCGCATGTTTGTCCCTTTCTAATGCCCCAGCCAGGGCTAATGTATGCAAAAGAATATGCAAATGCTTAATTGATTTTTTCTTAAATCTCTTGTCAGTAAAAGTAATGAATTGGTCTAAAATGATTTTAATAACCTGGATATGTCACCAGAAAATACTCAACCTTTTTTCTTCTCCTGGAATAGCTTATAGTCTCAAAAAAAAAAAAAGGAATCATGGAATGTTAATTTGCCCCCCTTTAAAATATTGAAGATGAATTTCTCTTGTTTGTTTGGAGACCATAGGCGAGGTTCTCTCATGGATTTCCCCCGCCTTGCCTTGCCTTCCTTGGAATTCAATTTTCCTTAAATCTCGTTTAAAGTGGCTTTTTAAAAAGTGGCCGCATTTTAATATTGGTTAGACAGAGTGACCTGCATTTCACCTCGGGTGTTTGACTTGTTCCAATAGGTCACTGCCATGGGGTTATTGATGAGGAAACTCCATTGAAATTTGTCTCTTCGCAAATGGCCTTTAGATCTTCCAGCGAGTTCAATAACTAGTTATAATGTGGAAGGGGAAAAATGAAGGCCCTGGGCTAACGAATTTGATGTTTCATTTTTATGCTGGAGAAATTGTTAGTTAGAGATTGGGTTCCCCACCACCTTCCTCCCTCATCCCAGCCTCATTGACCCCCACCCCTCTTCAAGACTGCTTTTTAAAACTTGGTTTGGGGTGTCCCTTGCTAACTTTGATGCAAGCTTTAATTCTTCATCTTATGAAAATTGTTGCTGAAACTTCTGATGTGTGGATGCAGGAACCTTGCTCTGCTGCAGGTTTGTAACCTGAATTTCTTGCTGGGGAGGGGGAGTTTTATTTTTCAAGGAACCTAAATTTGGCTTGAAAAGATCTAGAAACCAGGCTGGCCTTAGGTTAGTTTATGGAGGGCTCCCTGGCCTGGTCCTCCCAGTATTAAAGAGATGACAGGAAGCTGGAAACACTTTTAAGAGTTTATGAGGGTATCTCAAAGTGCCTTAATCTGTTCTTGGCCTCTGAACTGCCAGAGACCCATGAGATTAGGCACCCAAGAGCAAAGAAGGCAGAGACTGGGAAAAGCTAAGGATAGAGAGAGAATTCTACAGCAGGCAAGGGAATCCTGGGTCCTCTCCAGGATCAGCGTCAGAATTCATGGGGACTCAGTCGGGTCACCTCTGTTGCTTCACAAGAAGGGTGACCCAGAAAAGCTCAATTCCCAAAGACCATGCATTTTAGTAAACTGAAGAGAGTCGAGGAAAAAGTGGGGTGTTGGAGATTTTATAAGCTTTCCCTTTTTCTGGAGTTTTTAAGGGAGGGAGAGGAAAAGGCAGAGGAAGGGATTGGAGGTCTTTATTTTATTTACCCCAACCACAGTCAAGTTGGGGAACCCTTGACTCCTCGAGAAACCTCTGTGAGAAAGAACTTTGGAGAGCGCGGTCTCCTGGGCTGACCCAGCGATATCAGATCATTACCATGATTAACCTCAATAATAAGAACATCTTCCCCTCACAAAACACAGCTCCCGGGGTGCCTTTTTTCCCCTTCCAGGAACTGTTCTTTCTCCTTTCCCGCCCAAAAGGATCCAGTTTGCTCAGCCCCAAGCTCCCCCTTTAATAACCCCGTCTGCCTCGCACACCCCTTCCAAGCCTCGGCCCATAGATCGGCATGCCTTGAATCCTGGGTTGGAGGAATCAAGGCCGAGAGAGATTTCTAAGTGCCTGAAACTAGGGTGTCACCTCCCTCCATCCCCTCAAACCCAGAGGCAGCATCTTGATGCCATTTGGGTTCGCAAACTTGCCTTGGCAAAATCGTGGCACCAGTGGGATCTGGGGAACGGCCTTCAACTGCAATTGCGCGTCTCAGCCCCACAAAAATGGGAAAGTCGGAGAAAGGGCCATCGGCGGTTTCAGGGTCTGGCCTGGGAGAGGGCACCAGAGTCTGCTCTTCCCAGCCAAGTGGGAATCAATAGCGATGTGTTATAAACTTCCCCGAAGCCCCTTCGAGCGCTCTGTTCCTGGCGGGCGAGCCACGTCCCTAAGCCGCTCGCCAGCCTCGGCCTGCACCTTGGCCCTCTCCTCCGAACCCGGGACCCCCAGCTTCGGGCCTCGCCCCCTCCCTGTTT